GAGTTGGACTCGTCGCCGATTGAAACCCAACAGAAGCAGTGGGCACTGGGCAGAGAAAAAAAAATGCCAGCTCGGATGCACGAGGACAAACCTCGTCGTTTCCCTAGACGACAAGCGACACGTAGGACCCACGCTCCACGTATCCTATATGAATGTGGGCAGTAGTTAAAACGCAAATCATTTTTTAAATGTCTTTAGCTGACGTGGACTGGTTCAAAGCTGTACATTAGATGGTGACTGATAGTAGTAACCTCACGGCTCCGGGACCCACGTTGACGCGGCAGTGATGCCACAGAAGAGAAGACCCCCAAAACCAAAATTGGTAAATCCCGCCACCCCAAAATTATATAGTCAGTGCTGACTCGGATCTGTTCTTCATTTTTCCTTTGCTTTCTTAAATGCAGCCCTAACTAGCTGCTCTACCTTTCCCTTCGCATGTTAAAACCTAATTACCAAAAGACTTACTTTCCGTTGGCGACAAGTGTTATTGACAAAAATTGCATTGCATAATAATAATAATTGCATAGCGCTAGCTCCAAATTATTGTACGAAATTCAGATGGGGTGGCTGATTATTTGAGACATATCATTACTACTGTTGTCTCGATGGGCTCATCAGCTAGTACATATATAAATCGAGTTGATGGTTTGACAACCTAACAACCTCTCACTTGAAAGTGCACTTTACGACATTATTTATTGTTTACCTTAACAACAATGGTGTTATAAACGCGCTGATACGGATCGGGAAATCGTCGGAATCGATAAAGCAAGAATACGAAAGCGAGAATCGAAAAAAACACAGACACACGATTTACGTGGTTCACTAACACGATGTGTGTTAGCTACGTCCACGGGCGAGAGAGACGGTTTCACTATATCGAGGAGATTACAGATTACAGATTACAGAGGAGTATGAGAAGTATTTATAGTACTTCTCCACGTGGGTCTAAACCTAATCCAAACTGGCAAATGAAACGGTTACAGACCAGGCCCAGAACCCGAACCCAAATAACATTGAGCCTATACACCGTGATCACCAGCGAAACCCCCGATTACCAGTCGTAGCGGCTGATAGTCCGATTCAAGTCACATCAACAAATAACGCGCTGCTACGGATCGGGAAATCGCCGGAATCGATAAAGCAAGAATACGAAAGCGAGAATAAAAAAACAAATGGACCACACCATGGAGTTGATAATCATGTATCGTGGTTATGAAAATTGGGTGGCAAATTGCCATATTTGGTGAAGTTCCGTTTAAATCCGGTTTACCTTAATAATTTGAGTAGTTGAGGAGGTTTTGAGATAAAATTGTGCATCATTACTTAACTCACTTGCTCGAATTGAAGTCCATCCATGAAATTAGAATTTGCACGAACTTGTCATATCACAGGTACGTACGTAGATTGATAGTTACTAACGGAGATTTTTACCTGTTAGAATGTAAAGCAAGATTGTTTATCAAGACTTCTAATACCAGTTCAATAATCAAATTTATCATACTTTTCTTCCCAACACTCAAAATTTGTATACATTTATGGTCATATACTCATATTGAGACTAATATTACTTGGAGAAAAAAAAATTCATATTGAGACTAATAGGTCTCTTTTATCAGTTCATGTATTAATTAAGACCAGGGGCAAAAATATATTAATAGGAGGTGGTAGAGACATACAATACGTTCTTCCCCAAATGCAAACCCCATGCAACGTGTTTGTGCTAATTAAGGTTTAAGTTTAACCCTCCACCACTAATCAATACGCTCAATCGTACACTTTTTGAACCATTTCATATAATAAACTAACAAGCTGGGCGGTGCCCAACTTTATTGGCACATAATTAATAAGTATTAAGTAACCTAACTATATGTACGTACCTGATTAATTTTGGCCACCTGCGTGCTTGTTTTCCGTCGTAAGTCGGTGATCATGGAGTTATATGTCTGTTTTTCCTTGAATATTGGGATAAAATATTGTACCTATACACATGGTTAATTGCGTTACTAATATATATTGTTGTTCCCAGCTAGCTGGCTGGCTAGCTAGGCTCCATAATTAATGAATGTGCAAGCGTACATGTTAATGCGATACAATTCGTTCCAAACTCTTATAATAATAAAATTTTCCTGCCAAATTTGGCCACTGGTCCAGCAACTGGCGACTGCCATTATTAAAGCGCTTGGCCGATTCTTTTCAAATAATGTTTCAGTTTTACAATTGGACCGGTGCGCATATTTACAAACACACAAGTTGTTGTCGGTCGTGCTGTGCTTAGCTCCCATAATAATCAGAGAGATTTGGAAAGTCCTTTCTTTTCTATTGTCTCAATGTTGTGTGACGATAAAATAGTTAATTAAGGGAGAAAAGGAATTAAAAATTATATATATAATGTAAACTTGTATTTCGAGACACAACAAAAATAAAACATAACTCAAATTGAAGTATAAACTAAATATTGACATTGTAATACCTTAGGCAAATCTCACATCGATAAAGTATGGGAGAGATCCATAGTTCATAAGTAAGAAATTGGCCTTAACTGACAAGACGCATTTTGGGGGTGAAATGAAGGAGTTCTTGTGAGAACTCCGAAGTTAAACGTGCTCAGTGTGGAGTACAACATAGATGGGTGACCTTATGGGAAGTCACCTAAAATTGCACCCCAAATCGAAAACAGTGAGGGTTAAAGCCCAAAACAGACAATATATTCGTCGGGAAAAGGTTTGAGATGTTACAGACATTAAACTAACTTGTTGATGATGATAAATTCCTATATTCCATTGTGATGAATTCATCATTCGAACAACAGCTTAATTAGCTCTCAAATTAAAAATTAAAAGTCCGCCCCTTTTGTGACGCATTGTTACATGGAATTGCACAATTCCTCATGGCCAAAGGAAAAAAGGAAAAGGAAAACAGAAGCTGAAAAGGTTGGAATGGTTGTCGTTTTGGTTAGAAAAGAAAAAAGTGATGAGCGGGAGGTGGCGGTGATGAAGGTGGCTCTCTAAGTCAAGTGTCAAGCTTCAATCAAATGCAAAACATCTGCTTTTCGTCATCTGTGGATGGAGGTAGGTAACACATTTCTACCCAACCACATAATTTTATGTGCTTTTGTTCCCCACTCTGCTTAGTCCATTCCCTCTGTTATGAGTTATAGAACTAGTATTGATAATTCGGAGTTTGGACACATACACACTTGTGAGTCATGTTTCCCAATCGATGCAAAACAATCTACAGTCCTTTCTCTGTTTAGATTTGTAGTTGTTATTGTTTTAAGTCTCACGCTCTCAAGTCTCAACATTCAAGTGATCACATCTTTTTTATAAAAAAAATTTGCAACATTCAATCATCATATGTACATATTAGGTGGAGTAAGTGTATTTTATGTTGCACAATGACAAAACACAGAACAAAAGTAAGAAGAGTTTGAATTTAAGTGACAGAAATAGGATTTAGAGTGGGGCTAGAATTAGAACATCCAGACAACCTGTTAAAATTAAGTTCGAATCATAGATGATACTGACTTTATAGTCTACATTTTACCACATTCAATGAAGATTACATGAAAATTCACATTTTAATACCTAAAACTCAAATATTTGAAAGACTATATAACCCACGCCGAACCACACTTAAAACTTACACTAACCTAAAAGTTACAATGCTCGAAGTTTATTTCGGGAGAGGTCCATATCATATCATTAAAGAAAAACTTGTTGGAGACTAGTGAACAATGCAGGGTGCAGCTACCTAATATTGAACCGGTGGTGGCTAATAATGCAAGGGACAGAGCCAGATACCACGGACACTCATGTTCTACGCGGAATCTGAGGCCCAATTAACATACAAAAATGTAGCTTAGTTGTTGCTTATAATTATTTATATTTATATTGGGTTATATATAAATTATGCTCCTCTATTTTGTAGTTTTCTCAAACATAATCCTCTACTATGAATCACATCAAATATAACATTCTACTATTACACTCTTCTCACACTTACCCCTCCGCCTATTTTTCCACCTGTAGTCCGTTAAAACCCAACCAACCGAGTCTTGGCCAGCCTGATGTGATGGAAAATAGAAAAGTAAAAGACTATTTTTCCCCCTCCGTCCCTAAAACCCTCGATCCTTCCCGATTGACGCCGGCACCACCACTGGTCGGCGATTCCCTCCCAACCGATGACCACAATCGTTTCCCTTGACTCCGCTTCTTCCACATCACCGTCGTGGATCCTCAGAGCCCCTCCGGAATTGTGGATTCCTCCAACAATCTCAAACGCTATTCGCCCCCTCTCCAACCCTCAGTTTGATTGAAGTCGTCACCTCTCGTGCATTCGTTTCCTCGGTTGCTGGTGCGAAGAACATTGAGGAAATTCCCAATCCTTGGTTTCAAAAAAGTTGGAAAGGAAGAGAATCCACCTATAAAAAAAATCTTCCATTAAGGATTCACCTAATCACCACTGCAATAAGACAAATTGAATTGAAAAGCGTCTTCTTGTAAGCTATCCTTTTCTACTGTAATATTATCCCTAACCCTATGAATATATTAAGGGGAAGCAATGGTCAGATTCGATTGGGGTCGCTGGAGGGGAGGAAATGGTGACCGGCTTAATTGAAGAAGATACACTCGGTTAGTTGACTGCAAAGTGGTATCACAAACGATAATCGAACGCCGGAGACACCAGGGGGTAGACAACTGGGGAGCGGTTTAGTAGGGGCCTGAGAGATGTTTTCGGAGGATAAGGTTAGAACATAAGGGGGCAAAATTGTCCAATAACATGCAATTTTCACGAGTCATGTTGACCAAAAGTCAATTTGTCCGGATTAATGGCTACAAAATGGAAAAATAGACGAAGGGGTAAGTGTGAGAAAAGTGTAATGGTAGAAGGGTATATTTGATCTGATTCATAGTAGAGGGTTATGTTTGAGAAAACTATAAAGTAGAGGGGCATAATATACATATAACCCTATTATTATATATATAGGGTTAACACCCTTTAAGTGACAATTTTTATTCGAATTTAATAACAATATAGTTGTGAACAATTTTTCAAAGAAATGGGCAAATTTGGCATATGATTTGAATTGACGGTCAACTATTTTCTCCGTCAATAACTAAGCATACTGTGTTGACTTGTCTCGTATACGTAATTGACATTTCTCTTGATTGAAATACTTCATTATTTAAAAAAACCGCAAATAAAAAATATTCAGAGAGAAGGGGTCACGATGACCACATGACTCTTCCCTTTCATCCTTAGTCGTCTTCCCTCAAGACTAGCCCGAGCATGCAACTAACCAAAAGTCACCTTCCCTCCCCATCTTTCCCTCTGGCAAAGAGCCTCCTGTTCGAAGCTCGCCCCCTCTCTTCTCCCGTCAATTTGTGCACATCTCTTTCGAATACTTTTTTTAATAATGACGATGATAATATTAAAAAGCGAAAAGTAACATCTCCTTCGAATCTTGCCCCATGAAGTCCAAAATCTTGATGATCAACTACTCCGTCAAGCTCTGCACACTTACTGCAAACTTCGGACAAAACTAGGATATGTTTATACCTTTTTAATAACAACAGTGATAATAATTGTTATAGTGATAAATAATTCCAACTTGACGGTAACAATTTTTTTTTTTTTTTAAATAGTTGGTAGCTAGCTAGGCCCATTGATAAACTAGCTGCTCGCTATCTGTGTGGTGCTCTTTTTTTAAACAAGCCTGGCCAGTGGCTACACATGATATTGTGATAATTCTATAATTTGTTGTCCACCATTAAAGTTTCTGGCGGCCGACTACGCATCCGAACCGAATGAATAAACGGGCCCCCAGATAATAAGTCATCCATACTATTTTCCAAGTCCACAAACTCCATGGGCCTAGTGGTGGGTTACCAAAATGAACACTCGGCCCAATAGGTAGTATTTAGCTGTTGTTCCTCGGCCCTCACCCAAAAGCCAAATGCCGGCGAACTGGCGATAAGACAAAACCGAACACAACGGACCTGACTTGCTACCAAAGATCATCATGGAGGAATGAGGATTGGAGTGTGCAGACTGCGGTACTCTAAAGCCTGAACATAAGAATCAGTGACGAAATTCAGCAGGATGAACACTTGGACTGGACAAGCAGGATCTGTGGAGTCGTTAGCAACTTGATTCTCTTCATACCAGAGAATTGAATTGAGTACACTGGATATCGGATTCACTCTCCTCGTTATCATTCCTAAACCTAAAGTTAGGAGTCTAATAACTGCAGTTAACAACCACCAATAGCTTCCAAGTTTGATTCATTCCTTGCTACCTTTTTCGAATCGAAGCCGTGGTACGAGTACAACAAATCGGAGTGTTCATTACTCAAAATAACCATGGAGGCATGTAGCGCCATTTTAACGCCTGACATCAACAGCTTAAACGGTGATCACCAGTGCAGAAAGCACAAATACAATTTCAAAGACCCACCAAGAAAGTTCCCAACTTCCTAAATTCAACAAAAAGCAGAGAAAAAAAGCCAAAAACAGATTATACTTCAAGTCAATCAGAGGCAAGCGTCTCAATCAATTCCCGTCGGCAGATTTCCCTCCAGCTCCTCCGCTGATGCCGGCGACGGTGCTTGGAATCCGGTGCCGCTTAAACTTCCTGACCAAACCGGGGTCCTTGAACCCAACAAGAAATTGGGCCAACCCTTCAAGAAACAGAGCACCCTGATACAGATTCAGCGTCCCTACGATCTCCGAGATCACGCTCCGCCGCGCCCGATTCGCGTCAAGGAACACGCTCACCATCTCATCCATCTCAATTTTCATGGCCTCCGCCACCGTCGCAGTCCCAATCCACTGCTCTCCCACTTTCTTCATAAACCCTGCTTGAGCCTTCTTCATTCGCTCCGAAAACGAAGGCACGATCAGCCGCAGGCCGCGCTCAATCTGCTCGATCTTGACCATCAATTCGTCAGATGGGTCCTTCCACGCCGTGATCCCCAACTGCCACGCGGCCTCGGAATCGGTTTGAGTTTCGCGCTCGGTGTCGGATTCGGATTCCGATCCTCCTTCTCTGAGGAATTTCCTCAAAAGGTTGGTGAGCAAGTAAGGGTGGAGGTCGCCGAGGAAGAGAAAAGGGCGCTCGAGCGAGTTGCGCCACGGCGGGTGGAGGAGGTGAGGGAGATTGTCGGCGGAGACGGTGGCGGCGAGGTCGAGGGCGTCGTAGTAGGAGAGGAAGTGGTGGAGGAGGAGGTGGACGTGGGAGGAGAGCAGCGCCGGCGGGGAAGGGTCGGTGAGGGAGCGGTGGATTAGCGGGAGGAGGGTCGTCTTCAGGGTCTTGAACCACTCGTTGTAGTAGTCTTGGAAGAGGACGGTGGCCGGCGTTGGTTTCTTGGCGGCGGCGGTGGAGGTGGGGAAGAGATCAGAGAAGGAAAAATGCGGCATCCTGTCAAGAAGAAGAAGAACTGGAGCGAGACAAAGGAGCTTTCGATCTCTGATGGAATTTTGGAGAACTCGAATTGGGGAAAATGGCAGAAGGGGCTTCTTGAAAATCGGACTTCCCCAATTATATGGAAGCGACAGTCTGTTAAATTTGATTAAGCTAATTAACTAACTAACTGCCAATCACATTTATTTATGATCGTTTCTTGGATTTCTTGGCAGCTGGGCTCAATTGGGCTGGGCCGCGGAATTATTTTCTGTTACGACTTTGTGCCTGTGCATATCCAGTACTCTTCTGGTGTTGATTTTATGCGGCCCAACTCTAAGAGAGATTCATTTAGAAAGTTTACAATAATCTCTATGGAATGTCGATTTTGGATTTAGGATTTCCAAACTTCTGGTCAACGCATTAATCTAACTCACTAATTACTCTCTTCCTTCCAACGGTCTGTAGTTAATAACATGGCAAATTTGTAAGAGTTATTAGTTTGCCCCTGTCTATTTTTATTAAGTTTGCTTAAAAACGGTAAAACAGAATTTAGTGTGTAGTTAAACACATTGATTAAGCATAAGCCACCCAGATTTACGGCTTCTTCACAGCCGTAAATTTGTGACTTCCCCCCCCCCCCCCCCATTATTTCCAGGAAAAGTCTCCTAAACAAAATCCAATAACACAAATATATGCCGGAAAAAGAAAAAAAAAAGGTTTAATGTAACAAGAAACCCCCGGCAACATGACATGAATCCCTAAAATCTATATCCTCCATTGTTGTTCTTCTCCAAAGCTTTTCCCTGTCCATCCATGGCGTCCGTACCCATTTCCCCTTCCTACCTCCTCTTCTTCTTCCTCTTGCTCAGCCCTGCATTTTCCCTGCAGCAAGCATCCAAGTCCAGAAAAGAGCGAGCAGGATCAGGAGAAGCCGGAAGCATCGAAGGAGGAGGAGAATCATCATTGGCGGCGGCGGTGGATCCACAACTCGACTGCTCGGGCCGTTGGATCCACATCCGGCGTCTCCCGGCGAGGTTCAACCTCGATCTCCTCACGAATTGCTCCGAGTACGACCTCTTCTACGATTTCTGCCCTTACCTCTCCAATCACGGCCTCGGACCCAAGACCCACAACCGCTCCCACTCATGGTACCGAACCGACCCTTTCCTTCTCGAGCTCATCTTCCATCGACGGATGCTCGAATACCCCTGTTTGACCCAAGATCCGAACCAGGCCGCCGCCGTCTACCTCCCGTACTACGCCGCCATCGACTCCCTCCGCTACCTCTACGGCCCGGAGGTGAACAACAGCATGGATCACGGCCTGGAGCTCTTCGAGTTCCTGCAGGAAAACGACGGGTGGATTTGGGGGCGGAATTCCGGGTCGGATCATTTCCTGGTTCTCGCCCGACCCGCCTGGGACTTCTCCCAGCCGCCAGATCTCGACCCGCCGATTTGGGGGACATCGTTTTTGGAACTCCCGGAATTCTACAATCTCACGGCGCTTGTCGTTGAAGAGAGGTTATGGCCGTGGCAGGAGCAAGCCATTCCCTATCTGACGTCGTTTCACCCGCCGAATGCCGAGCTCCTGGATTCGTGGATCAATCGGGTCGAGGCGTCCCGGAGAACTACATTGATGCTGTTCGCCGGCGGCGGAGGGGTGTCGGCGCAGCCCAATATCCGGCGGAGCATTAGGAATGAGTGCGAGAACACGAGCGATACGTTTGAAAGCAATGGCGGGTGGTATTATTACTCCAAAGTGTGCGACATTGTCGATTGCGCCAATGGGAAATGCGAGCACGACCCAATTTTGTACATGAGGCCCATGTTGCAGTCGACATTCTGCCTTCAGCCTCCCGGAGACACTCCGACGAGGAGATCCACGTTTGACGCGATCATTGCGGGTTGCATACCGGTGTTCTTCGAGGATCAATCCGCGAGAACGCAGTACAGGTGGCACTTGCCGGAGGAAGCTTATGGGGAGTTTGCAGTCCACATTCCGAAGGAGGATGTGGTTTACAATGGGATGAAGATTTTGGACGTGCTGATGGGGATTTCGAGGGCTCGGGTTAGGAGGATGAGGCAGAAGGTTATCGAGTTGATCCCGAGAGTTGTTTACAGGAAACATGGGAGACGGAGTAGTTCTTCTGTAGGATGGAAAGGGCAAAAGGATGCATTTGATATTGCCATTGATGGAGCTCTCGAGAAGATCAGCTCCAGGGTCAAAGGTGAAGAAGCAGATGTAGCACTAGAAGACCTTTCTTCTGTGTGATAGCACCATTGCTTTTTCCAGACTGTTGTTGTAACATTATTAGGAGTCGGTCTTCTTCATTTGTCTTGCTTTTTTTTTTCCTGAATGGACGAATTTTGAGGGAGAAAGGTAGAGAATTGAGAAAGTAGAGAACGTTGAGCTTGAATGTTCGAGCATTGTAAAGAGTTTCAGGTTTTGGATAGGAAAGAATGGAACTTTTTTATTTTTTGGGTACCAAAAATTGATAAAGGGTTACACATAAGGGAAGCAACAAGTTTGTGTGTAGTAAGTACATATGGAACACAGAAGGTAAGAAAATAACTAAGCAAACTGGATGTTACAGGGAATTCTGGTCCTAATTTGATGTTTTATCTCTCATTCTTGAGACATTGGTGAAAAGAGAGAGCATTTGTAAGAAAGATTTCAATTTTCAGCCCCATCTAATTATAGCAGAGCCCCAAGTTAGACCAGCACCAAAACCAGCAGCTGCAATTTTATGACCTGGCTTCACTTTCCCACTTCGAACAGCTTCATCCAATGCCAAGGGAATCGAAGCAGCACTCGTGTTGCCATAATTCGCCAGATTCGATATCACATTTTCAGAAGAAAGTTTCAGACGGTCTGCAACCGAATCTATGATCCTCTTGTTGGCCTGCAGAAAAAAAGGTACATTCTTTAGAGTACTAATTGCAACGCAATCACTGATCCATAAGGAAAGGCATCCATTGTTACCTGGTGGAGTAGCAACCAATCAATGTCCGCTGGAGTTAGACCAGCCTTCTGAAGAGAAGACTCGATAGTCTCTGGCACACACTGCACGGCAAAGCGATAAACCTCTTTCCCGTTCATATTAATGCACGAATAAGAGGAGGGTCTAGGAGGGAAGTCGATAACTGATCCATTAGAACCGAGAGCATGATCCAATTCGGTTTGCTTGATTGACGCATTCAAATTTCTGCATGATGGAAAGATAAATAGTTTAAACTAATACCAAAAGATAGCTGAAGGACAATCCTAATTGCAATTACATACCTCTGGCCATCACCATTGCTGTGCAAATCGAAGCTGAATAAACCGTCATCCTCACCATCACAGGCCTGCAGAGTAGAATAAATCCAAAAACTGGAGTTAGACCAGCCTTACTGCAACTTTTTGGGGGGATTAGCCCATGCATTTCCAGAATACATTATTTCTTTGGGTTCACCTAAAGATTTCAACAATACATGATTTTTTGGAGTCCACCACTACATATATTCTATCAATCCCATCTATAGAACACCTTATTTCTTCAAAATTCATGTACTATATGGCTACCAAACAATCGCTTTAAAGATTTGTGAGCTCGCAACAGAAACCCTCATATACCTGTACCAATACCGCGCCAGCAGCATCGCCAAAGAGAATACAAGTTCCTCTATCGGTCCAGTCGACATATCGAGAGAGGGAGTCAGCACCAATTACCAAGACGTTTTTGAATCCACCTCCTGCAATGATATGATAGAGATGCATTTACTTAAACAGGATTGAGTGGGATGAATGAATCTCGAAGGTTAGGACTAGAGAGACGTTACCCCTAATGTGACAAGAAGCAGAGACTAGCCCCATAATGAATCCACTGCACGCTGCTGTTATGTCGTATGCCAAAGGGTTTCCTTTGCAGCCAAGCTGCTTTTGGATCTGAAAATCCAGAGAAAACACGAAATGAGTATAAGATGGGGAACATGGAACAATCATAAGAGAAGTTTTGGAAGTAGAAGAGGTCACTTTAGATGAACTTAAACTGCATCTTCTGAAACCTAATTAAACCCCAAAACATCTTTATCTTCCAAATCTTCACCAAGAGGAAAAAGACGGAGGATGAATCTGAAACCAGCTAACTAAAACAGGTTTCTTTTTACTCTCAGTCCTTTCACTCAAGATATTTACTTATATTTCATTATCTCCCAAGCAAAATACAAAGCTTTCATATGCCTGAAAAAAGAAAGTTTTCGATGGAGATGTGACCCTACAGCAAATTTTCAGGACCTGAAGTAGTTCAAACAGAGAGGGGATCTTATCTAACCACGACAACAAGTTCTTGCAGGTAGAGCTCCATACTAAAGATAGAGATAGAGATTATATATAACTGGAAGGGAAGAAATAAGCATAATTTGCCAGAATTCCTGAGAATACGTCCTACCAAGTAATGTCTTTTAAGGTTTGTATGATTAGGAGACGTCTTCAGGCTTTACACATATGATCAAGGTACAGGTTTAAGACCTTTTAAGGTTTGAGTAAGATCTAAAATTCATGTTGTGGTGAAGATGCAATTCTAACTATAGAAATCAGTTAAGGAAACATAGAAAACCTATAAGAAAACTTAATGCAACAGACAACAATATGGACAGACATGCAAATGATCACCAGAACTCCAAAATGTATGCAAAAGATGGGGCAGCAAGGCCCCAAGCAAAAGCTACAGCATCGAACAAGAGAACATAACGCTCATTCAGAGTTCTTAGTCAGAGTTTTTGAACTCAACAATATACCATAGGAGCATGCACATGCTTTGGCATGAAAAAATAATCCTATCATAGCATTGTTCTATTAGTAATTTGTAAGACTTTCGAATGTCAATAATCGTCATAGAGCCTATACCTGAGGAGCACTACCGAAAAGATCCTCTGGTGTTGAAGTGCACAATAAGATCATATCCAGATCATCAGGATCAACCTCTGCCATCTCAAGCGCTTTCCTAGCTGCTTCGGCTGCTAGAGAAGTCAGGGTTTCCTTTCCTGTAAAAGTAGAGGAAACCGCTGAAAGTTAGTAATACTTGTGCAAGATTCGCATTAGCAGAAATCATTCAATTCACCAGGTAAAATGCATCCATCTTTACAGTGAAAATCAGGAAACGAAGTTAATGGAAAATGGAACTTTCTAACTTCAATTGATTCCTATAAGATGTGATATTATTATCAATAAAAAAAAAAAAAAAAGATGCATTGCATATACTTTACAGAAACTGCAAAAGAAATGTTATAAACACGTCTCGTCTTTCTACTCTAACAATGCTTCGTTCTTGTTATCTTAGTTTCCCTTCTTAAGTCCTCACATACACCTTTTTCTTTCTCTACATGCATTTTCATGTTCAACATATAAAATCAAAAAGGCATAAGGGAATCAAAACCTGAAAGAACTCGTCGATTACGGATCCCAGTTCGATCAGATATCCACTTATCATTAGTGTCGACCATTTTGGCGAGATCTTCATTTGAAATCTGTAGACTGGGAACTGCTGAGCCAGATCCAATTAGCTTGCAACCTTGCATAGCTAGCCTGCAGAATACAAGTTTGGCCAATGTAATGAACATTATAGTGAAACAATAATTTTCAAAGACACATCTCACCTCATTGATCATACAACATAACACCTCTGGCACAGTCATTCATAATATCTTAGTAGGAAAGAATTCCAATTTTGCACTGCCTACAGGGTAGCACTTCTACAGTTTAGGCCTAGAAAGAAACAAATCCTGATACCTAATAAGGTACCTCACGGATTAAATCTGAATGTAACCTCTTGGAAGCATGTCAGAAACTAGGCAACACAACAACAACAACAACAGGAAAGTGCTTCCTTCTGATGATGGTGCAGTATTAACTCTCCAAACCTTGATATATAGTGTCCCATCAAATAGATGATAACTCGCTCAAGGAATGACTAGTAGAAATTCATTTTAGTTTACTTCATTCCTCTCTGGGATGAGTCCCCAACATCCAAATAAAATCCGGACCCAACTTCCCAGTGATTTCAAACAGTTTAAGCATAAATCTGAAGCATCGAATGATGAAGTGATCAGATTGACTGTCAGCCTGCATCGCTAAGTCATCAATCTATCACATGAGTTCATCTCGTTTTTTTACTGCAGAAAATCTAAACTGAACTTCTCCAACACCATTAGAAAAGTGTCCAAGAAAGGTAATCTGCAAATCGCCCAATATCAATTTAGCACCAACCAGAGCCAAAGGCAACTAACCACAGCTTACTGGCAAAACATCTCGTTCATTTTGCGTATGATCCTTTAATCTACAATACCAATCAGAAACTACAGGGCTTTCACCGTTTTGAACTTCCAATTACCCATGCAGCAATACTCTTTGTCAGTGAAGTTCAATTTCATTCAACTAGCAAGCAAAACGACAATAGTAACAGAAAGCTGTTGCTCCACCTAAAGAGACAAGTAGAAGCTTGAAGAAGAGAGCAAGAACACTGACCTGGGCATTCGAGATTGAGAAGGGGAAACCTTGTCAGCAGCACCTTCAACAGCGCTGGAGCAAAAAATCCCCTTGGCTATTCCCTTTGTAGAGCAAAACCCAGATCCAATAACCCCTACAGAAGGCTTCACAGTCCTCCCTAAACTGGGAACTGAAGGACTCAAGAACCCAGACACATTGGCCATATTACTCTTTTCCCCAAAAACTACCTGTCCCCCAACCTCGCAAATTTTCGTCAATGCTGTCAAGAATAAGCAAAAGAAGGGATCTTTACACTCAGCAGAAATAAGGGCCGACAAAGAAGGCGACAAGTATGTGATTGAAACAAGAAATCATGGGCTTTGAAGGAAACGGAGGAACCCGACAGGCAACGAAGGAAATAGAGAAGAAGAGTCAAGCGACAGAGAGAAAACGGATGGTTTTATTGAGGCAGAGATGCTGGCTGCTGCTGTACTTCGATTTTAGGCGAGGTGGGCTAATGATCTTTGGAAGCTCCGAAGAATAGAACCTCACCCAACGTTTTTATAGAGGGAATAGGTGGGGAGTGGGACGATGGTGGCAACACGATTTTGAGGAAATCCCAATGTGTTTATTTTAAATCCCCTCTCCTCCTGGTTTTCTTCTCTACCCCTCTTCCTCAAATTTTTTTCACTTTCAGAACTCTCACTCCGGTGAAAATATATTTCTCCTTTCCACTTTGTCCTTTCTGTCTGCCTATCTAATTCTGACCTCAGTCATTGCAATGCCTCTCCCTCTAGCTGGCGCCAATCGGTTTTGAGTTTTGACCCTCATAAGTTCAAGGGAAGGTATTTAGTCGGTTTGACCTTTTATAGAGCTAAACATATCTATAGCCTAATTGGTTCATATGATTTTTTTATGAAACGATTGGTTTCATTTCATAAAAGAAAATGTGGCGTAACAGCGCTCTTGCTAGCTAGGTAAGGTAAAAAAAAAAAATTGACATTTACTCAGTCGTGTAGCTGCAACAATGAAATCAAAATCAAATCTGTAAGAAAATCTATGATATATAGATACTCCTCTAAGAATTAACCATCCAAAGAAATCAGAAGTCTCTCATCATCTTCATATCTTTATAGTTTTCAACAAAGTTAAGTGGCAACATTCTTGTTGGTCCCTGCATAAACTCTACTTCATCTTTCACGTTAAATGTGGTTGATCACGCATAGTTCTACCCAATTTCAACAACATCAGAATTCCAACGAAAAGTTCCAATGATCCCCTCCCAACTCATCATCAAAACTGAGATTCTGCAAGTAAGATTAGAATATGCCAAAAAGTATGCTTAACATATCACATTGCATAGGACACGATGTGAACAAGTGATCAAGGGACTCAGGAGCACAAGAACAAAACATACTTCCCACTAACCCAACAAAATCACATTTATACATTTTTCTCTTTAGTGTTTATGCTTCTTTTGATTACCATCCAAGTTAGAAACCTATTCCGGAGAATAGATCTCCCTTTTCACGACACTTTTTGTTAATTAACTCATTGCTGCTTAAGGCGAATGACCTCCCATACTTTTTTATGGAAAAGATCATCATTTTGTCTTAGTTCCAGTAGTCTGTTCCATCCCTTACAATGAAAAACTGTTGAACAATCAATATGAGTTTTAGAATTCTCTTCCAGTTCCATGATTCATAGTTACTTTTGGACTGACAGAAATCACAACTCTTCAATGGTAGTAAGTTCTTACCCACGCTACGCAGAGAACCCATGTTGTATTTTTAACATAATTAGTCATATATGCCTAGCCATGCAAGCAATATTCCATGAGACTAAGTCTCGAAAAACTAATCCTCCCTCAAGTTTAGGGTATGTAATTCTATGATCTAACTGTTGGGTGTTTGCTTGGTCTTGGTCTGTTCCACATCTACACGGGTGACGAGCCAACCAGGTTTGATTCATTTGAATAGGTTGAACCACGTACACGGGATATTCAATCAATTTCTAAGAAGCAAGATTGGGTCTAAAAATATATATATTAACATAATCTTTTGAACTATTCAATTCAAAGTTATCTTAACATCAACTTTTGTGTAATAGGAGTTAAATTGAATCATTAGATGTTTAATGACTCAATTTAAATAAATATAGAGAACAGAAATTTCCATGTAATGCCAGTTCAATGGACATACTTGGAGTTTAAGAAATAAAATTATCAAAATATTGAAGTGGAGAACAAACATTTTAATCAATGAGAGCTAAATGAACACATTTAAAAGTTTAAAAACTAAAAAGATTTGAACCTATAACCAAGTGTATACAATCTAACATGCTTACAAACAAATCAAAGACGAATAAATGATTTGTTTTTCCCATACACCTTGTAAAGATCTAGCTATTAAACTTCTATGAACTCGAAACCACCAATTTCTCACATGATTTTGTTCCTATATTAGAGGCTTTGTGCTATATGGTCAGTCAATACATGCTAGTGTCCTGCCATGAGCACCCACATTACAAGTGAATAGAGGTGGCAATTTGAACTCTCAATCCACCAATTCATCCACTAAAAAATCAAACTGATCAAATCCATTTAAAGCCAATCCAATTTGAAAAATTATAATTTAGTACCTATACCTTTTATATGTTATCTTTTGATATCTAAGTTTTACATAGTTATGAAAATGTCATTCAAAAACTATGTTTTGATACCATAACTTTTTGTAATGACATTTTTGTACTTAAATTTTTCAAAATTCACGTGATGATCAAATGTTTGAATGTCACTTAGATTCATGAATCCATTCCATCAATTAATTAATGAATCCAATTAGAGATGCCAATTAGGATCCAAATCCATGAATCCAATCCATCCATCAAATTATCCACCTAATCCAATCCATTTTAATCCAATACATTTTATCCAAATGGCAAATTACGATTTGGTACCTATATTTTTTATATTTCACATTTTGGTACCTAAAATTTATATTTTTATACGAAAAATATCATTGGAAAATTACATTTTGGTACCTAAAAATTTTCATTATGACATTTTAGTACCAAAACTTTTCAAATTTTATATTTTGGTCCAAGCCTTGGATGTCATTTGGATTCATGGATCAATCCACCAATCCATTGGATCCAATCCATTTGATCCATGGATCCACCAATCCAATCTACGAATCCGATCCAATTGCCACCTCTAAATCCATTCCATTTACAATCTCAATATTTAGAATTTATATACATCCATTGTTAGAAAAAACTCATGACACAATCGTCTAATCACGCAAATTTCATATAATCGCACACTTGATTTGCTCATCTTCACCAAATAATTCTTCTCACAAGTTTCATATACATCGTGGTTGGCTTTGTTCAACCCCCCAATCTTTTGTAATTAGTATTTTTGGCGCTGAAATTGGTGGCGGCGGCAAATTATACGGCGGCTGCCTGCCTGCATGTGGCCGTGGCTGCCGGCTGGGGCTTTGCTTTCTGCTTCCGCTGGGTTTTCTATTGGCTAAAAGTCTAAAGTCAAAATTTTAACTTCAGTCGCATTATTCCTTCAAATTCTGCTCTTTCGCGTCTTATATGTATATTGTAATTGCAGAATTTCGTTTACAAATTGGTTAGTTGTTGGAATGGAAGGCTCAACAAACTAATCCGCAAATTCTTTTTGATGTACGTATGATTAGATATTAAACAATAAGAAGAGTACTCTTTCGTCAAAAGAGGCTGCAAACAAGCGAAAAGAAATCCAACGATACTAAATTTAAGTTTTCTTTCGACACTTTTGAGGGTTTGTTTTTAGAAGTTTTAGAGGTTGACCATAGAGAGAGAAAACCCTTATGATGAGTAAGGATTAAATTTAGAATAGGAGCTTAGACTAGATACAAACTGAAATTAGATAAAAAGGAACAAGAACTTTTTCAAAATACAAAATCAAGACTCTGTCCAATCAAATTTATCTAAAACACAATTTATATAACGAAAGAATTAGAACATTCAAATTACTAATGAAGGGATAGTCCCCTTTTATAGTTTAGTCGAAATGGACTGTTGATAAGTGATCTAAACAAATGGGAATTTTGTACAAATCTCGTCGTAAAATCATGGTAAAGAGGATCTATAGCACGATAACATCAGCATCTTTATGATGAGAGAAAGATATTTACATAAGATGATATGCTATCTTTTTTTTTTATAAGAAGACTAAGTGAAACTCTAATATTATTGCTTTTTTATCCAAATACAAATAGTATGCTAAGATGATATAATGTCGCTTTGCTTTGTATAAAATAAATAGAATTGTTCTCCACATTCCTTAAAACGATGGTTGTTCAGCACATTCTACATCAGTTTTTTACGAATATTAAGCATTAAATTTATATTTGTTTTCAGATATTTATATGCGATCACTTGCTAAATTTATTAGTAACTAAGCTCCAACTAAAATTACGGAGAGATTGTCAAACGACGATAAATTTATCTTTATGTACTTTATCATATTGACCACTAGCTTCAGCTTGTCGATTAACATAGCTTTATTTATTGAAAATTATATATAATATACGTTGAGAATTTATTTTCAAAAATTATATATATATTAAATATCGTATTGCTTTGTTTAACCTAGGAGAAAGAGAAAGCAAACATTGTTAAAGAATAAAGACTCCCTCCTTCTCTCGTCAATAGAATAAATCCTCTATTATCAATATAATCAATCCCCCATTTTCTATTGTGAGTGGAAGATGAAGAAGGCGATCAAATCATTATGTAAAGCCTTCCAACAGAAAATTGTACCCAGAGTCTAAACTAAAAGTCCCTTTCCACGAGAATCGAAGCAGTCTTGCTAGCTGTTGCTGGTCATTACCAAACCAACAAATCGTAATGCATGATGCTCACCGGTCGTGGGCACAAAATAAAAATGTATAACCTATAGTTATATTTTGCAAAAAGCGGCAAAACAAAAATTAAATCTGCACCAGCCGGGAATCGAACCCGGGTCTGTACCGTGGCAGGGTACTATTCTACCACTAGACCACTGGTGCCTATTATGATGACTCAAATGACAAAAGCATAATCAATCTCTCTTTTGTCACAAACATTTGATCCACCATGGTTTCCACGAACTGAACTAGAGAAGATTACAATGAGCTAAAACTGAGGTTCACTCGAAGCCTTTTTTTTTATTGTTTCAAACTGGCGAAATAGCGGTGAGCCTGAAGGACGAGCTCATCGTCTTCCCATTCGTCGCGAAACGTTTCGGGACGAGCCTGAGCGTTGCTACGTGACGCTAGATACATTCCTCGCCTCCAGCTCTCGACGCCTAGACATTGGCACTGTGCTGCAACCCAGTCGCTGTAGTCGTCGCCCTCCTAAAAAAAACACCAAACCCAAAACCAACACACACGATATGAATCTGAAAATCAAAACGACTTGCGCTTCATCTTTTCTATATATATAATATGATGATCCTATTGAAACTTAATTCATGTTCCAATCATTAATTAATTAGTTATTACCAAGGCAGCGGTGGCAAGCATATTGTGGGTGTGCCTCGTCGGCACACCGGCAGCCTGGATGGCGGAGTAGAAGTCATTGACGTCCCTCATCATCTCCTCGTCCGACGGGAGCGAGATCCGACCCGACAGAACGCCGCTGATCCATTTGCTCTGGAGCTCGAACAGTGGGAATAGGAGCGTCTTTATTTAATTTGCATAACAAAAACACAAACATATTTTTTTTATCTGCGTGCGCGCGTGTGTTCATAGGATATATATATATATATATATATAGGACGATGTAATGAAAACATATATATAATAATAATAAATTAATATAACCAAACCCTGTGTGGGAGACCGACGAAGGAGATCCCCGGAGCCCATGCCGGCGGGAAAACGTGCTTGTACAACGGCCTCACGCTGCTGTCCTCCACCGTCACGATTCCCTCCCTTGTGATGAAAGGGAAGTGGAACGTGTAGCCGGTGCAGTGGATGATGATGTCGGGGAAGACAGTCACGCCGTCTCCGAAGACTACACTTCCATCTCCACAAGCTTTCTCTACCTACAGAAATTTTCATATATTTGAAAAAGAAAATTGTTGATGCAACTATAATATATATATGTATGAGTTGATTAGTGAGTTGTGCATGTAACGTAGCTACCATGGGATGAATCCAGATGTTGGGAAAGGTAGGGTGGATTTGGGATGGGTAATTGATGTTGTTGTTGTTAGGATCAACCACTGTTGTGGAAGCAACGTGGACCTCTTTGGCGACTCCGGCTATGTTGATGGACAAGTCAGCTCCGCTGGGGGCGTGGCCTATCAGTACCACGACCTAGAGATATGACCAAAAAATATATATATAAAAACGACACATTCTTTTTTACAAATACAATGGATGGATATATATATGTATGTATGTATGCATTGCTCACTTGGTCTTTGAAGGGTTGAGGTGTGCGGTAGTTGTGGCTATGGATTTGCTTTCCAGGCCACGACTTGAAGCCTGCAGAGTGAATAATTAAAAACCCACTTGTTGTAAGTGTTGGAGAAGAAGTCGAGTTGCAGATGCTGAGCAATCAGAATTCGAGCAGGAGAAGGATTGGACTTGGCGCCAAAGTTCAAACCAGAGTCTAGCTAAATAAAACGGAGTCGTGTCATTCAATTCAGTGTGTCTGTCTGTCAATTGGATATTTATAGCTTTAGTCCTCGAGTCTTGTTTAGTGTTAATTAAGTCCTGTTAGCAGTTAATCTTTGTAGTTGATTGTGGAGATCATGTTGCTGATTTCCAGGAAGCTTAGTTAGTGGTGAAAGCCAGAACTGTTGGCTGAATCCCTCGATGTATTTAAGAGTCCCAGTTGCACTCTAATGAAGTTTGTCAGTTTGCAACACTCTGAGTTTTCACATTGTGGTATCAGAGCACAAAGCAAGCTGTAACCACGATTTGTGCAAGAGAGAGAGATTGAGAGAAAGCATTAGATAATCTGGGATCAGGGAAACACGAGAGATTATCTGTGAGGTTGTTTACAAGGTAAATAGGGGAGTGAGATCTGTTGATTCTTCAACAGAACGTCATGGGTGATAATGGCAGTGCTGCTCAAGTCTGCATTCCAAAATTTGATGGAGACTATGAGCATTGGACCTTGCTCATGGAAAATTTGCTTAGGTCTAAGGAGTACTGGACTGTGATCAGCCCTGGAATCAGGGAACCGGCTGAAGGAGAAGAACTCACAGTAGTACAACAGAGAACTCTAGACGAGTTGAGACTGAAGGATCTCAAAGCTAAGAACTACCTATTCAGTTCTATTGACAGAACTCTTCTGAAGACTATTGCAAAGAAGGGAACTGCCAGGGAGCTGTGGGAATCAATGAAAGAAAAGTTTCAAGGGAGTGCTCGAGTTCAGAAGGCTCAACTTCAGGTACTCAGAAGGAATTTTGAATTGCTAGAAATGAAAGAAGGAGAAACTATCTCTGAGTACTTTGGTAGAGTCATGGTGATAGCTAATACTATGAGGAACTGTGGGGAGGACATGTCATATGGAAAGGTAGTTGAAAAAATACTAAGAACCTTAACTGAAAGGTTTAACTACGTGGTTTGTTCCATTGAGGAATCCAAAGATATTGACTCCCTAACAGTTGATGCACTTCAAAGTTCTCTTCTGGTGCATGAGCAAAAGTTTAGCAGGAAGGTTACAAAGATGGTGACTGAGGATGATCAAGCTCTCAGGGCTTCCTATGACTATGGAAGAGGAGGAAGAGGTCTAGGAAGGGGGTATGGACCAGGACGAGGAAGAGGTAGAGGCTGGAACAAAGAAGCTGTGGAGTGCTTCAAGTGCCACAAGTTAGGGCATTACAAATATGAATGTCCTGACTGGTATAATGATCAGCATGCACATTATGTTAGTTCCAGTCAAGTGCAAACAAGGGCTCAGGGAGACATGAAAGATGATGTACTCCTCATGGCGTGTGTTGACTCTGAAGGTTCAATAGAACTGGAGGAGGAAGCTCAAGGATTTATGGCACTGCTTGAAGATATAAAGCAAGATAGTCATGAGGACTGGTGGTTCCTAGATTAAGGATGCAGTAACCATATGACAGGAGACAAGAAGTGGTTTACTGAATTGACAACCAGCCCTACAGGTACTGTTAGGCTTGGTAATAACAACAAGTTGGATGTTGCAGCAAAGGGCAGTGTGAAGATTGAAGCTGCAAACATGAACATGATGATAAGTGATGTGTTCTATGTTCCTAGACTTAAGACAAATCTGTTGAGCATTGGTCAACTGTAAGAGAAAGGCCTGGCTTTCTTATTTAAGGATGCAAGTTGCAAGATCTTCCATGAAGAAAAGGGTCTACTGCTGCAGACTGAAATGAAATCAAATATGATGTTTGTCATACATCCTGAAGACAAACCAAAGAGCCAAGAAGTTCAGTGTTTTCAAATTTCTAACAGTAAAGAGAAAGAACTGGAATTATGGCATAGGAGATTTGGTCATCTGAATTCAGTGAGTCTCAAGCAACTACAGCTGAAAGGTTTTGTCAAGGACTTGCCTGCACTGAAGGAGGATCTGGAGGTTTGTGCTACTTGTCTCATTGGCAAGCAACACAGGAAACCATTTCCCAAGAAGAGTCCTTAGAGAGCAAGTCAGAGGTTGGAATTGATCCATTCTGATCTTTGTGGACCTCTTACACCAGTCTCAAATGGTGAGAAAAGGTATATCCTCACCTTGACTAATGACTTTAGCAGAAAGTTGTGGGTTTACTTTCTTGTTGCTAAGTCAGAAACCCTTGAGTACTTTAAGAAGTACAAAGCACAGGTTGAACAAGAAACTGGTTCACAGATCAAGTGTTTGAGAACTGACAGAGGAGGAGAGTTCATGCTTAATGAATTCAAAGAGTTAAGTGATGAAGCTGGAATTAAAAGACAACTGACAGCAGCTTTAACACCCCAACAAAATGGAGTGGCTGAGAGGAAAAATAGAACAGTTCTGAATATGGTGCGATGTATGCTATCAAATATGAAGGTACCTGCTGTGTTTTGGGCAGAAGCAGTTGCTTGGACAACACATGTTTTGAACAGGAGCTCAACAGCAGCAAACCAAGGTAAAACACCTCAAGAATTGTGGGCTGGAAGTCCTCCCTCTGTGTCCCACTTTCGTGTATTTGGTTGTGTTGCATATATGCATGTGCCTGACCAGCAGAGAAATAAGTTAGATGATAAGAGCATTCCTTGTCAATTCATTGGCATCTCAGCTGAATCAAAACCTACAAGCTCTACAATCCTAACACCAGAAAGGTTGTGATTAGCAGAGATGTAGTTTTTGATGAAACTAAAGGTTGGAGATGGGATTCTGAGATGCAGCCTATTCAGACACAAGTATTTTTGGAAGAAGGTGATCGAGACTGGTTTGATTCAGACACAGAAGATGATGCTGCAAGTTTGACTGTGCCAGTTATTCCTGCAAATCAAGAATCACCACAACTCACTACTCCAGCAACACCAGAAGGATCAGGAGGAGGTTCCACAAGTGCTGACATCATTAATGAGGATGAAGTGGACATGGGAACAGATGTTTTGGGACTCCCAAGTGCCAACTTAGGGAAAAGGGTCAACAAGTTGCCTAGTCATTTCCAGAACTATGACATGAGTTTCACTGCCACTGACTGGGTAGCAATGGTAGCAGTAACTGATGATCCTCAAACCTTTGAGGAAGCAATGCTGGATCCCAAGTGGAATGCAGCAATGCAAGAAGAAATGCACTCCATTAAAAGGAACAATACCTGGACTTTGACTGAACTTCCAGTAGGTTTTGAAGCTATTGGGTTGAAATGGGTATATAAGACAAAGTTGCAGGAGGATGGAAACATAGACAAGTTCAAGGCCAGAATTGTGGCCAAGGGGTATTCTCAGAAGGAAGGCATTGATTACACGGAAGTGTTTGCTCCAGTAGCTCGTTGGGACACCATCAGAACATTCTTGGCCTTAGCAGCTCATCATGGTCTTTCAATCTAACAACTAGATGTCAAAAGTGCATTTCTCAATGGGGAGCTCACTGAAGAAGTTTATGTGGAGCAACCACCAGGGTTTGTGGTTACTGGGGAGGAAAGGAAGGTCTACAGGCTTCACAAGGCTCTCTATGGCCTGAAATAGGCCCCTAGGGCCTGGTACAATAGGATAGAATCCTATTTCATCAAGTCTGGCTTTGAGAGGAGTCCCTATGAACATACACTGTTTATTAAGAAGGCTGGAAATGGTATTCTAATCCTAAACTTGTATGTGGATGACTTGATGTATGCAAGCAACAACTCTAAGATGATTGCTGACTTCAAACAGGCAATGCAATCAGAATTTGAGATGACAGATCTTGGGAGGATGCACTATTTTCTGGGAGTTGAAGTCATTCAGAGGGAATCAGGAGTATTCATCAGTCAGCAGAAGTATGTAAGGGAGGTGCTGACCAAATTCAATCTCCTAGACTGCAATTATGTGCATAATCCCATGAGTCCTGGCAGCAAAATGAACAAGGTTGGGGATGGAGTAATGGTGAATCCCACTGAGTATAAGCAGCTGATTGGAAGTCTACTATATGTGACAGCTACAAGACCTGACATTATGTACTCAGTGTGCCTTCTTAGCAGGTACATGGAGCATCCAACGAGACAACATATGCTAGCTGCTAAGAGAGTGCTAAGGTATCTCAAAGGAACTATCAGCTTTGGTATCTGGTATAAACGAAGGGGTGAAGGGGAGGAGGAGCTGTTGGGGTACACTGATAGTGATTATGCTGGAGATTCAGATGACAGGAAGAGCACTAGTGGATATGTGTTTTTTCTATCAGGTGGAGTCATCTCTTGGGATTCCAAGAAGCAACCTATTGTTACCTTGTCAACTACACAAGCAGAGTTTGTTGCTGCAGCTCACTGTGCAACACAATGTGTCTGGCTTTGAAGGATCTTGGAGCAGATGGGATGGAAGAGAAGTGTCAAAGCTGCAACAGTCATCTTCTGTGACAATAGTTCAGCAATCAAGTTGTCTAGAAATCCAGTGCTCCATGGAAGGAGTAAGCACATTGATGTGCGATTTCATTTCCTCGGGGAATTGGCAAATGAAGGAGTGGTTGAGCTCGAGCACTGTGGCACACAGGAGCAAGTTACAGACATTATGACTAAACCTCTAAAACTGGAAGTGTTTCAACTATTGAGGGGCAAGATGGGAGTGTGTGACGTCTCTGAGTTTGCTGTTGAAATCTGAAGGTGAAGTGGTTGAACTGAACGATGGAGAGAAGGTTCAGTTCAGGGGAGGATCTGTTGGAGAAGAAGTCGAGCTGCAGCTGCTGAGCAATCCGAATCCGAGCAGGAGAAGGATTGGACTTGGCGCCAAAGTTCAAACCAGAGTCTAGCTAAATAAAACGGTGTCGTGTCATTCAATTCCGTGTGTCTGTCTGTCAATTGGATATTTACAGCTTTAGTCCTCGAGTCTTGTTTAGTGTTAATTAAGTCTTGTTAGCAGTTAATCTTTGTAGTTGATTGTGGAGATCATGTTGCTGATTTCCAGGAAGCTTAGTTAGTGGTGAAAGCCAGAACTGTTGGCTGAATCCCTCGATGTATTTAAGAGTCCCAGTTGCACTCTAATGAAGTTTGTCAATTTGCCACACTCTGAGTTTTCACAGTAAGTAGCAACTAAGAAAATTAAGAGGTAGCCAGGAACGAACGGTATCGATACAAATTAACCATATATACTTACAAGACTATAGCAATATTTATTGTTTGTTAAACAATTCCCATTTCTTCATTAAGTTACAAATCCAACTACCTAATTCATTTGGATTGTATATAAATGGTTCAAGAATCAAGATAGAGATTTGGCAATAGATTGATTTTTATATGAATATATTGTTGGAACATATGGTTTGGAGGATAGAAGTTTTTAACTACCACATATTTGATCAATAGTAATTTTAGCTTCGATCCAATTGGGTTTGGAGTATGATTAATGAGACGGCATATCACCTAATTGGAATTTATATCCCACTGTACAACTTCTTAATATTAATTAATCTAGGCAACATGACAAATTGACTAGTTCACTCCACGTAATATATACACATTAAAAAGAGTACATGACAAAATAAGGAATCGGGCTAACACACCAATAAATATATGCAAATTAATGGTATTTAAATTTTGATAGTGATAATTATTTAACGAGGGAAATGTAAAAATTGTTATTACCAGGGAAGTCAGCAATTCGAGGCTGGGAGTGATGGCCGTTGCACACAACCACCGCATCAAAGACTTCCTCTTCCATCTCCTCCTCCGCCTCCTTGTTATTACTATTAACCGACGTCACTTTCCAGCTCCGGCCACTGCCGTCCTCCACCGGCGCAACATTCACCACCTCCCTCTCCAACCTCACGATCCCCTCGCCGATCCCAAACTCCCTCGCGAACTCCTCCAAATACCTCAGCACCTCGCGGTGACCGGGGAACCTCCTCCCGTCGGCGTCGACGCCTCCGCCCCCGCCGCCGCCGGCGACGAAGGGGTAGTCCATGAATCCCATCACCTCCCTGGGAAGATTGGTCCGGAGCGACTCGTACATGCTGGAGTGGACGACGGGCCGGGTCGGGTCGATGCCGAGCGGGTCAACGGATTCGAACTCGGGCGTGTACACCCAGGTGCCACCGATTTGGGATCCCTTCTCGAACACCGTCACGCTGTGGCCCTCACGGCGGAGCTCTCGAGCTGCCACGAGGCCGGCTGGGCCGGCTCCGATGACGGCTGCGTTGACTCGCCGGGGAATCGGCGGAGACGGAGCCTGCGATGGTTCCGCCATTTGCGGTGTTATTTGTGCAGAATGATGAGCAAGACGGCTGCCAACTTTATAGACGGATAAAAAAAGGGGAGAAGAAAATATCTTAAATAATCACTTACTTATTGCATTAGTACTAATTAGTATTTGAACTATTTTTCTTTCTTTTCATTGTTAGAAATTTGAACCAAGTATGATCCCCCCTCAAATAAACAAAATTATTTATTTGATTTCTTATAATAACGAATTGAATTTATTTGATAATTTTTAAAGTACGCACGATTTGAATGTTGGATATTCTAACTCAGTGCAATGGTTCAGTTGGATAATGTCGTTTTACACGTTTAGTTAAGGGTTAATATTTTTGTATGGCCTGAACTTTGACCAAAATAAATATTCTGGCTAATCTTTTCGATCTATAACATACTGGCCCGAACTATACACCAAAATAAACAATTTGGCCAAATCCGAATTTTGGTCGTTAACTTGGACGGTCAACGCGCCATGTCACTGCCAAGTCAACCTAAAATATTCAAAATAATTCACAATTTCCACTCATTTCCTAATTTTAAATTATTATAAATTAAAAATAATCATCTAATACCTTAGTTAAACCAAAAATAAAAAACGGAAAAAAATTAAATATTTATCAGATCTTCTGACTTGACAGTGATGGCGCGTTGACCAACATCGGGTTTGACCAAACTGTTTATTTTGGTGTATAGTTCGGACCAAGATGTTATAGATCGAAAAGATTGACCAGAATATTTATTTTGGTCAAAGTTCAGGCCATACGAAAATATTAACTCTTTAGTTAATGAAACCTTGGTATGTTCCTTCTGAATAAGTAAAGCAACAACACAGTTGTCAGTTGAGGAACAAGTTAAATGGCAGGGAATTATGTGTTAGGTAACAATGAGCTACTCACGCCATTTTCTCAAGGAATGTTATGTGAGCTAACAACCGGTTCTCTCCTTTTTGGTCTGGAAACTAGACTAGATAGTGGAATAATAACCATCTGCAAAGTTAAATGGCAAACTTGGTTCAAAATGAAAATTCAGTGACCATTCTGTAACTGACCCAGATAAAAAGAAAAGAAAAAATTTGTTGCACCAGCCGGGAATCGAACCCGGGTCTGTACCGTGGCAGGGTACTATTCTACCACTAGACCACTGGTGCCTGTCACAATCGGATGAACCTTAATAACATTTTTGTATGTGGTACACTTGCATTGCAAGCTTATTAACGCACACACTTTACATCTCATAAAAACCACACTACAAAATAATTTACACCTCACACTACTCATGATACACCCATACTGGTATCAAAGAGTCGATAAATGTCGAGTTGTGCAAATCAACTCGAATGCCATATGGAATGGGGTCCAAACCAGCCCGATGAACCATGGAATATTAAGACTTGAGAGTCTGGCTTTTAAGTTAGGGTTTAGTGGTGTCCTAGTCATAGTCCTAATGTTGGTATCAGCATTAATCCAAACCATTTAATTATCCACCACACCAGCTTTATAAACTATATATTGGGTAGGGTATAGTATTAATCGTCATTATTGGATAGAGTATTAATTTTATTTTTGTGCTTCGACTATTCATGCAAATTTATTAATAAGATTCTTGATCTAATTATGTTAGTTTATTTTTGTTTAATTTTGGTACATTGGTGATGGTTCATGTGTTATCGTTGCTGATTTCCAGTTACAAAATTATTCTGTCATTCTCTCACCTAACAAACTTTTTTATTTTCAATTGGCACGTTGATACTATCTTACTAAAAAATATTAACTAATAGCAAATTGTCATGGACGAATTCATATAAAATAATTGTTCATGATTGTTACTTGTATTAAGAATCCATTGATCCTAATAATTTAAGTTGTTAGAGAAAGATTTATATATGTATTTTATAATACTTTTTTACATACCAATAGAATGAAAGTCAATTCATAAATGTAAGGTTTGCACATTCAGACTAATTGGGCAGGGAAAATTCAGTCCAAGGCAAGCCAAACAAAGAAGCCCAGAAAAGATCAAGGCAAGCCAAACACAAGCACATGGTTATACAATTTGTGTTAAAGAAATACAAAAATAGAAGAACAGAACACAGAAAAGATCAACTCAAAACATGAGCAACACTTGAATCAGATGTAGAAGACACCGAAAGCTCCCTTGCAAACAAACCAATCAAAGAGCACCAAGCATAATCGTTTGGTTTGAGGTGCGGGTTTATGTGCTATTATACATTCGCACATGGTTTCCGACTTGGTATCGAAATGGTAATAATGATGTGAAAAAAGGGAGTGGAAGCAGATAAGAAAAATCACTTAAAATGAGGGGTTGTGAAGGGACAAAGTGGTATTTTAATTCATGGACAGGGTGAGGGAGGGGCATCAGGCATATGCAATCTCTGGACTGCAAGTGAAGTTTACCATGTTTGCTTTTGATGCAGTTGAAACTGTCACCATCTGTTAGCAGAAAGTGCAATTGGCAATTTGCATAGAAAGTAGGAAAAGTGGCTGCTCCGCAAAAGGAACAGACACCGGGGGTGAGGGAGGGAGGGAGGGGGAGAAAGAGTGGATTGATGAAAATGTTCCGAAGTCTAATTTTTTAGAAGTTTAGTGATTGTGTGAGTTGGATGTGAAGAAAGATTTATCTAATTGATGTTTGTGTTTAGTTGATTTATTTTTAATATTGATTTCGACGGTTAAATATAAAACGTTGTGAATATTATAGTCCTCACACTAATAGTAGATCAAACTCTTGGAGTTTCTATTTGAGATGTTAAGAGAGCACACTCGACATGAAAGTCGATTAGATTAGCAGATCATATTACATGTTCGGCATTTTGATAGAGAATAAGTATATGCATTTGCTAGGAGTCACAAGTGCATGGACATGTATGAAAAATCCAACTTGTCGAGATGAGAAGGATATAAGTTTTGGGGCGGTATAAAGAGATGTGTGTCACATTTATGCTCACACCTCAGATCAAATAAAAGGCAAGAGGCAACCATCAAGCATGAGTCTCGAAAATAGTGACTAGTCAATCGTGCTCTGCATCCGATAACCGATGCTTTAGCTTTGACAACTTGTTAGTTGGTTTGGTAACATTAAGTATATGATAGAACATACGACAATATGTATAGAAGCATGAGTTATAGGACGAAACATTTCATGTGATGTATCGTGGTAGTACATGTCAAACTTATGTCGGACTTCTAAAAGTCAGTATCCATAACGAGTTGACACGACACGATCATCCGTTATCTTCACTAGAAAAAAAGCCTATGAATATTAATAATCAAATTGACGATTTTATCCGTTAGTGTGAACAAATTCACTAAACTAAAAATTGAATGATGGTCTTATTAGTCACTAGAAGTTGTGTCACCGTATATGTAATTGACCTACATAGGAAAAGGAGAGAGAGGAGAAAGTGACAGGCGGGCAGTTAACATAAATAGCATGCCCATATAGAAATTGTAAAATGATGATCCCCACACTCACTCTCCTTCCCCTCTTCCCCTTCTCTCTTTCTTCTTCCTTCTGCGAAGAAGAGGAAGAAGATCGAGCTTAGCCGGCCAAAATAGAAAAAAAGAGGGGTTTAGCAGGCTGGCTGTCTATCTTCTTTCTCCCGTCTCCACTCTTCTCTCCTTCTTCGTCTCCAACTAACCCTCTTCCTCCCTCTCTCCCATCCGCTGAAAAAACCATCTTCAGCTATTTTCTCTCTCCCTGTCTCCTTCCGCCTTTGTTATTCCCATCCCGACTCTTCCTCTCTCTCTCTCTCTCTCTCTGCCATGCCATGTCCTTTTCTCCATTAACCCAGACCCAGACTGTCTAAAAATGCTCCATCATTCCTAATCTCGTTTCCTCGCCACGTTCTCGGGATTTGAGCTGTTTCTGGTATCGTCTCGCTCTTCTTCTTCCTCTGTAGCTGGATGAGGAGAAATGGCGGAAGGAAGCGATGAAGCTCGCTCGCTCTCGATCTAATGTACGTTGGTTTGGGTCTGCTTGCTTTCCAGGGACAGCTTTTAGGAAATTTTTTTTTTTGTTTATGTTTCAGAGAACAAAAAAACAGTTGCGTGATTAGGAGATCAAAGTCAAGATTCTTTCCTCTTAATTGCTTTTTCCATCGCTTTTCATTCGTTGTGGTCGCCCCCATTTTTTTTGTTAGTTTGTTTTGGCAGTATCCCATTCCTAGGTTAACGAGGGAGCCATAGCTTCGTGAAACTCTGTATTGCCGGCTAACAATGTCGCGGGGACGACGACGAGTTACTAGCATTACATCGACCGTTTCATTTCTTTTTCTTGTTTTGGGTTTTATCTTTTAGAGATTTCCGTCTCCGGCCGTTTTCATGCTGTGCATTGAGTTAGTCTCTCCGTACAACAGGGGTTGGTTGATTGATTGATCCGTTTTAGGCGGCTTCATCGGCGTTTAGTGCACTACCGTTTCTGCAAAATCTGATTGGGCGGAGTGCTTAGGTTTGTTTTGCCTCGGCCAGCTTGACTGCAACCTAAGCTGTTTTTGTCTACTTGTAAATGGTTTGTTACTTTGTTTCAGAGAAGAATTGAGTTTTCTAGATGGGTTTTATTGACACTACTGAAGATTAAACGTTGTTTTGATGTATGAAATGGAGTGATTCTCTTCACCCACTTTTCAGCATTGCAGTTGCTGAATTGGGGTCTCTAGGTTCTGTAGCAGACTGCATTCTTATTGAGAGTGATTGGGTTTATGTAATATGCTAGTTTCAGTGATGTGCTGGTTGGTTTACTTTTGATTGCGTTGAAGATAATGCTCGTCTTGTTGACTAGCATTTGTTTCCAAACTTGTTGCAGGATGGGTAGTGGATTCCAAGTGCAGAATGTGGAGGCTGGGAGTAGCTGTTGTTACTGATCAGTGATCGTAATTGAAGTTGATATTTCTGGGTAGCAGGTAAAATGCTGATGCCAGGAGATATTGATCTGAGTTCGGTGCCAAGGCACACAGACCCGCTTAAAGTACTTGTTCAACAGGCAATGCTCAAACGGGAGGCTATGTATAACCCTCAAGTATGCTTTTCTATTCTGGATGATCGATTTCTTGGCGATTATTCAATGTCTATTCTAGTTGTTCGCAATGTGATATGCTAGCTTTGCCGCGAGCCATGATTCTTGGTGCGGGAACCTTTGCATTTGAGAAAATTAATACTTTGCTTGGTTTCACTTTGCTAAAATCAAATATTTTCAAATTCTGTCAGAAAAAAGTAGCATGATCATTGTTATACTATTTGATATTCGGATCTTCCACTATTCACATATGGTTCTCTCTTGCTTTCTATCATCTCGTCAGATCCATGGAGAACTCCATCGTCGATCAAAAACACGGAGATCACTCATGATGGATATTGTTGATAATAACGAGTGTGGAAGTAGCTACAATTCAAGGAATGTGAAAGCTCGGTCATGTTTCCTACCTCCCAAAGATGCCTTGAGATACGAATTGCTTGCTAAAGAAGCACGGTTTTCATCAGTTACCGAGGTAACTTCCCACCACATCTTGTGTTGCCATAGAAAGTAATCTGGTATAACAACTGATATGGAAGTATTGGTGGAGACTTCTTGGCTAATTGAACATAATTAATGGCATGTGGTACTCTAATACTCTATTGCAAGTTGAAGAACCAAGATGTATTATACTGTGGTCTTATATTAGAATGTGAGCATTTTTTCTTCCAGGTACGGTCTACACATACACTAAAGCAGGACATATTAGAGGAATCTACGCAAAAATCAGTAAACCTCCAACTTTCTGCCGATGAATTCATTCATCAGTCAGGAGATGACCTTCAAGAAAAAGGAAACGTTTGGAATATCTTGAAAGAACCTTCCAATTTCCAGCATCCTCCTACTGATAGAAATTCTAGTATGAATAAAGGCGAGTTGAAGCTTTCTCTTGGTACCAAACGACACACTAGAATGTATGGTGTAAGCGGTACATCAAGCACTAGGTTTGATAAGAATGATGATCTGTACAACAACCCAATTGTGATTGATTTAGAAGATTCAGTTGAGAAGACACATGATGATTATGCAAGGTGCAGTAGAATGCGTGATGCATGTGGTACGTCAGCTACCTGGTTTGATCAAAATAGGCATCTGGATAATGCTACGGTGATAAATTTGGAAGACCCAGTGCAAGACAATAATTCAAGACGCCCTAGAATGCCTAATGTACATGGTGTGCCAAGCACTTGGTTTGATAAGAACAGGCGTCCGAACAATAAAATTGTGATTGATTTAGAAGATTCACTTGACAAGGCACAAGAAAGCTCTGCGAGATGCACACCTTTCAGTTCTGTCTGTCAATCAACTTCCAGGGAGGAATTGACAGTCTCAAAAAATGAGGGGAAGAGAAGATTATATTATGAAAGAGGTCCCCGTGATGATTCTTGCAATGGTATTTCCTCTGGAGGCCAATTGTTTCTGGACCTTAACGAAGAATACCGCGGTGATTCTTCTTACTCTGCTGGTGCATGCACTGGACTGCTTGGTAGTGTGGAGGAAGGAATTCTTCCTGTTGGGGTAGGGAAACAACAAGTCATCTGCAGATCAAATGAAACATCTGGTGGTAGAGCAGATAATAATGTAGCAAAGCTTACTCTTTTGGACCTCAACATAAAATGCGAGAGCACGGGCTGCGAGCTGGAAAATGATTGTGATGATGGTAGAATTGGTAGCTTTAAGTCCCAGATAGAATCTTCCGAAGACCCTGGCAGCTGCGCTGATACCAAGACTAACCTTGTCAAGCTGAAGTCAATTAATCTCCTACTACAGGATTTGAACCATATGCCTGCTAGGGATGGAGGAGAAATGAGTTGTGGTACAAGTGGAGTAGATAATCCGGCTTCTTCTATGTGGACTGACGAGAGCCAAAATGCATTACATGGCAACAAGTCGCCCTCTTCATGCAAGTCCTGCATTTCTGACAATAATTCGGGCAGCATTAAGACAACCAATTCCATCACTGGGTCAAACATTAATTGCCCTGCAAGGGCAACTCTGTCTGTTAGTGATGGAGAAAATGGAGGTCTCCTCAACAAGCAAGCAGAGCAACCAGCTAGAGTGGAAGATGCCATGATGAGAAGAGCAGCTGTTTCACTGATCTATTTGGCCCTGGATGACGCAGCGGCAGCAGCCCCTTTTGAAGATTCCAAGCCACAGTATTCTATTGATTCTTACGAGTTAATTGCTATGAATCTGACACAGAACATGGACGATGAGGATTCTGCATCTTCATCAAAGCCATTTGAAGCAGACCTTGGCGAGGTTAAGGATCTCGGTTCTAAGTGGAAAAGAGGGAGGAGATTGAAAGACTTTCAGAAGGAGATACTACCTGGGATTGCAACTCTTTCTAGACTTGAAATCCGTGAGGATATAAACATCTTGGAAGGGGTTCTTAGATCGAGGGAGTACAAGAGAATGCAGCAGGCCAAGGGAGTGCATGAGGAGAACTGGTCGGGTTTGGCTAAAGGGAAACGGTCTAGAAGAAACTGTGTTGGAAAGAGGAAATCTTCATAAAGAAATCTGGGCACATATTCTTTGATCTTTCCTATGACTACTGTTATAGGTCTCAGCTCTGTTGATTTAGGACAAAAAAGGGGATTAGGATTTGATGTCTTCACTAGGTTTTGATATTGAGTTCATAAGGCCCTCTACAACAGTTGATCCTTAAACAACATATTCTAGTTCAGGGTTGTTCTTTACATGTATCAAGGATATACATAACCATGGGTCTATTGGCTTGGAACGATTCCTTGTAATCTATATAATGGTTGGATTTTGGTATGATGTAAACTAGTTTTTTCTCTGCGTTCTCTTGGGAAAAAGAAGACAAGGGAAGATAGGTGGTGGGAGACTAGAGAAATAGAGAATGTTGTCTAAACAGAAGGAGATGATAGAGAGGAGTTGGCCCATGTTTATGGGGACAGCTTGTTTCTTTCCCAAGTTACCTTTGTCTATTTGTTTTCTTTCCCAAGTTACCCAACTAAGGATTGTGCAGAGCAGACTCTGGATTCCCATCTTTCCCTAACAATGCTCTTACTCATTTGGGCTGCTGTCACTTCGGGCTCGTGGGCTTCCTTTCCAATGAGCCCAGCTTCTGGTTTATGAAAATTATTATATATATGTTAAGCACTTTAAATCCACACACAGACATTTATCTCTTTCGTCGTACAAAAAGGTAAAAATAGGTTTTTACAGCTTGGATTGAATAACTCGTATCAGAAGAAGGCAATTGTGATTGTGGAGCTCGGGACAAAGAAGAGGCAGACAAGGAATCAAAATCTTTTGTCGTTCTTGTTTCACCCATTTTTGGGCTTTTGTTGAACCTATTATTAAGTGATCTTTTAGCAGCAAAGATTTTCTTGGACAAAAAAAAAAAAAAAATAGTCTTTATTGTTATTATATTTATATACGAAAAAATTATTGGATTGCTGCTCCTTTAGGGTTTCGGCTCTACAGCTAGCTGGGTCCAGCCCATCAGGGCAAATTTGTGGGGGAGGGGAGGTCTCATCTTTTTTCTATTGTTCGTGGACATGGTTTATGGTTGTCTCCACAAATCAACGTATAATCCATTTTCTTATTCTATTGAATTTGAGAAGTTAAAGTTGGAGATGGGGTGTTATGTAGTGGCATATCCAATATTTCAATTATTGTTTATCTGATTTGAAAAAATATAGTATGAGATGACTTTTATCTTATGGGTCATTTGGATATGTAAGACACCATGATGATATATTTTGCTCACAATGTCCCAAGACTAGTCATCGCAACAAAACTTCTTGTTTAAGTAAAAAAAAAAAAAAAGCATTTTGGCATCACAATCTCTCATTTTAGGCGTTGTCAAATGTGTCGAGGGAGCCGGATATATGTATTTGTGCCAAATGTCTACATTTGCATTCTTACTCATCCAAACGACCTGTAAATCTTTTCTAACCCTCATGTGTTGTAATGCTGTAAAATGTTTCTAAAATGAAATATTGTCCAAGTTATTAAGGTTGAGAGCGAATATGAAGTTTGATGATTTAAGGATTTGAGAAATGAGGGAACCAACAATTCAAGAGGTGGGGTTTTATTTTATTATTGCAAAATTAAACGGTATTGTATAGTTAGATGCTTATATGGACACGTCTATGGTGCACCACAATTCCTTGTAAACGATAAACAACTAATTTATAAATATATAAAAATAGTTTGGCTTAATTGCAAGTTTGGTCACTCGAATTGCTACAAAATTTCATGTTTGCCACTCAAATTGATTTATTCTATTTATAGTCACTTAAATTAGTTGAACATTCCAAGTTCGCTCACTCTCCGTTAACCTCCGTTAGACTCCGTTAATGACCACCGTTAAGTGATGACGTGGCTAATAGAAAATCACAGTCATCGTATTTTAACACTAAAAAAACGATGACTCGCCACGTCATATTTACCCGCCATGTCAGCCCTACTTGCCCAACCCGCGAACCAATCCAATAATTGACCCAACCCCAAACCCGAGACCTGACCCCCTAAATCTAGATTCTTGGTTCTGGCCTTTGGGAAGCTGCTCCTCGTTTCCAAACGTCCGAATTTTCGAACGAGCCAGGTAGTTGTAGAGGAAATCGCCGAAATGGTTCTGCATTTCAGGACTTGTACAGCTCACGAACACCTCGTACACTCCAGCGGGAAGAGGCAGTGAGGCAAATTCGGGACTAAGCCCAGAACGGGAAGCTTTGACTGGTGTGGTTGACGCAGATTGTAAAGAGACATTTGAGCTCCCACTTCCAGATTCCCTCCTCTCAAGGAACATAAACCTAGAGGAGACGATTAACGGAAGCAGCACAGCTGCCACCGTCGATAACACAGGAGTCCACCACCATCCCGACCACCACATTGTTCAGCAGCAGTGATTTTCCAAGTACCAAATTCCCGAAGGAAAGGATCCATGGCAATCCCCCTAAAATTCAAACAAGGGTTCCAAAGATGGAAAATCAAAGATAGAGAAAATCAAACACTTGAAATCGCACCTGCAAACCTGAAGGAATGTTTGTGAAACTTCTCTCTCGACCCAGCTCGCACTCGCTGTACCTTCAAGGGATAAACTGCTGGAGCTCTATGCAGAGAGCTTGCTTCATGGCTTAACATTAGCATATGCTTGGTTGTGAGTGATCCCCTGGATCTCTCCCCTTTCTTCTCTGCGAGGCGAATAGTACAGAGCCAAGAATCTAATTTTAGGGGGTCTGGTCTCGGGTTTGGGTCAATTATTGGGTTGGTTCGCGGGTTGGGCAAGTAGGGCTGACATGGCGGGTAAATATGATGTGGCGGGTCGGGTCGTCGTTTTTTAGTGTTAAAATATGCTGACTGTGATTTTCTGTTAGCCACGTCATTACTTAACGGTCGTCATTAACGGAGTCTAACGGAGGTTAACGGAGAGTGACCGAACTTGGACTGTTCAACTAATTTAAGTGACTATAAATGGAATAAATCAATTTGAGTGGCAAACGTGAAATTTTGTAGCAATTCGAATGACCAAACTTGCAATTAGGCCCAAATAGTTTGTACCACTATATCAAACAAATGCAAAATTTAGACCACATTAGGCCAAATACAATTTTATCCAATTCTCATTATCTTGATTTTGTTACGACCTGAATTGTACCACACTCATCACTCCACTTGATACATTGAGATATTTTATCTAGTAATGGCACCAAGAAAGCCTAATTGACGTTTCATCCCAAAAAAGGAAAAAGGTTTTGGTCTATCTAGCTTTGCTTAAGTCAACAAGCTGTGCTTGAGAGTTCAATATTCCCATCATTCTGCAAACAAGTAGCTTAGCAAGTAGTAGTGCCCCCAAACCATTGTGTCTCCCATCAAGTTTTGTCCCAAATCTCTAGCCAAAATCATTTGGCTAAGGGAATTTGTATTTTCTCATTTCAATGTTGTTTTTTGTTTCGCATCGACGATTTCAAAGCTTCTGCTGTGCTTTAATTATGATAAAATTATATTCAATGTATCCAACAATTCATTGCTTAGAGATATTATAAATGCAACCTTTGGCCACTAATTCAAGTCTGTTTTTTTCTTCTTTTGTTTTCTTTTCGTGGGAGCCAAATGTAACTATCTAGCAACATATTTTTGCTTTTAGGTACATCATGGTGACTTTCTATGAGGTCACTCATCTTTTCATTACTCAACTCTGAGTATGTTTAACCATGCAACTCTTGCAACAACTCCTTCATTTCACCCCAAACCGCATATTGTTAGTTAAGGTTGGTTTATTAATTATGAATCATGGATTTCTCACGTGTTTTCGATGTGGAAATTGTCTAAGGTGTTACTGACACCCCCTTTGAGGCTCGACATCATTGTTAAGGTTTGCCTCACATCGCCCAAGAGGGACGCAAAGAAACTTTGATATCACTTATAAAATCCTGACATTTTTTAACCAAGATATTGTTCTTCTTGGGAACCAAACTTCTACTCAAAAGGATAGATGGGCCGATTCAGTTGAGATCCAATGTAGATCCAACTTTCTATTCACTCGTGGGATCTGGGTCTTTCATATATTTCGAGATCCATCCTACTTCTAATGACACTAAGATAATTGTAGGTGACCACTTCTAATGACTATAAGATGATTGTATTAGTTGCATGTATTTATGTTAAGGATTAACTCTCTGTTGATTGTTATATTTTCTTCATTATACAAATCACACATTGTTGCATTAACATGAGATTTTTCTCACCTACTAATAATGTTATGTTGTATTGGTTAACCAATTAATCAAATTGATTAAAATTCATTTTTGGCTAGTTTGATTTTTGTATGATTTAACGTGGAGTTTGAAGTTTCCACATGATCAAAATATAACTACCTCTCATAAAGAATTAGATGTTATTACGAGCCAGGTTGAGTGAGCTCATTCTGGACGCGATTAACAAGGAAGAAGTAGAACAAAGAAGGGGGAGGTAATTAAAGAGGGAAGTAATGAAAAGAATAAGAAGGGTGAAAACAAAGGGAAAAAGAAGTCTGTTGCTGCTGTCGCTGTTGTAAATGTAATCTCTCGTCTCTGGAGCCTTATCTGCTGCCAATTGCTTTCTCTCCATGAAATTCGTACGAGATCGAGACCAGCGCATGTGGACTGAGAAAGAAAGAAAGAAGAATCAAAACAAAAAGAGAAGCTCATCAGATCAATCATTTTCATCGCCTCCAATCTATCCTTTTTTTTTCTTCTTCTTCTTATCATCAGTTCAGCACACAAAATCTGGAGCACGGGCAGGCATTAGATCTTCCGCCTCCAAAGTCCAAACCACAGCCCCTGCTCGGCCGGCTTCAATGGACAAAGGAATTGGATTCTCTTCACTAGCAAGTTAGACTATGGACCACTTAACTCGAAATGCCCAAGGCTAGGGAAGGGACTGATTTTACACCTATTATATTATATATATATACTTTTATATATTTTGATAAATTAGAACGGTTGAGGATTTTTATTTCTATATTAGATAAATCTTATAGTTTGAGTTTAGAGAATATAAACTGAGTTTCAATCGTTATAGAGGTTAGTGTTATAATATAATATCTCAAACTTGGTTAATTCATGATCTAATTGGCAAAACTCGTGGGAGTGCTAATACCAATATATAGAATCGAAACTAGAGTTTTAACGGTTCGAATCCCTTAAGTAGCACCTGATTGCAAAAAACCAAACTTATATCACCTTTATAAAAAAGAAAGTTATGTATGCCAGCACAAACGATATAAGAGAGTGACACCGAGTGTGTATCGAGGTTTGAATTACGTGTCTCCCATGATGATGATAGTGCAGTTATGCAATTAGCAGCAGCACCGATCGACCAAGTCCTCGCCCTGTGAGTGTGAGCCATACAAACCAGATTGGGTGTTGGCTGCTGCGAGGCGAGGCGTGGCGTGGCTGGGGGATATATGCTTCTTTATTATATTTCCTTCATGTCTCCTTTTGAGGCGATGCTGCTGCCTGCCTGCCAGCTGATATTGCATTCATTTTTATTGTTGTTGTTGGAAAGAAGAGCTAAGCAACTGGGGGGAAGGGTGGTGGGGACTAGGAGATCTTTTGGGAAGATACCCTCCTTCCCTCCCTCCATTTAAGTACCAACCACGTACAGTATCCTCCACCCTAATTTAGGGTCCCCTACCCTACAAGACCTTTTCAATGTTCCTTCCTCCCTAAAAACTAAAAAGCATCCCCGTTTGGTAATCTGTTGCTTTCTTTGAGATACCCTTTCACTACTCAGCTGCCTGGTTTTGCTTGCAAATTTGTGTCTGACTTAAATTTTGATCCCCGCGCTAGATATGGTCACTAGCTTTTGAGATTTTACTACCTAGCTAGTTTACATCTAGGACCGACTGACAACATCTCAGCATGTGAAATTAAGCTGCACAACAAGAGAGCTAAAGGGGGGGATTAAAGAAAGATGAAGAAAAGGATGGTCATATTCATTCAGCACTTGATGATTGAGAGGGAGAAGAAAAGGGAACGTAATAATAATAAGTAACTGCACTGCAACCATGAAATGTCTATTCAAGAAATGAATAATGGAAGGGAGGCGTGATCATTCATTTACTGCAAGGTGGAACCCAGAAAGGAAAGGTGGGCTGTGGGTATGGGTCGACTGTGTTGGGCTGGGCGGCTCAGTCAGAACAGAGGATCTTTGATGCTACTGCTTACTCTACTGTTGACAGTTACACGGTCACAGTACTCCCTCTCCCTCGCCTTGGATTCTCTATTTCTCTTCCCTTCCTCTTCTTCCCTCATGCGTTGCTCCAAAATCCAAATCGATGAGTTGTTGCTCAACTGGTTCGTTTCCCATAATGGCAGTTTGGTGATTACATATGCTATTTCAAAAGAAGGGATTTTTTAAACGCATGGATTGGAGGTGTTATGCTTAAAAAGTTAGTGGTGTGATATTTTGTTTTTAAATTGTGATTAACTATTTAATTATTTTATAGCACTAAAACTCAACTACTAGTTTACAGTCTGGTTGGCGGTCTTTCTTCTCGGACAGTCGATACAATTTCAAAATTAAAAACCATCCATTATATCGGTTAGAATATAATAGGTTCAATTCTGATTGGTTAAAAACGCAATCCACCCAGTGAAAAAAAAAATCAACTTGACCAAAGGCAAACTAATAACAATCAAAGCAAGCAACAATGATCGCCTCTCTTATCAACCTTTCAATAGCCTTGGTGGATCTCCTACACTTCTCCTTTACATTTCATCAATATAGTATAAGGTGTATTTGATAGAAAGATGTGGTATTTGCCTATTTGGATTTTCAGCTACTTAATCATCTGTTTATGTACTAATTATAAGAAAAATAAATTTCAATACCAAATTGCAATTTTTCAAAATTATAATAGGTGACCAAAAATTTCATAATCAAAATATATAGTCATAATATTTGAAACACATTACAAATGAGCATAAAAAAAACTTGAATTATATGTATTTTCAAATACATGTCTATCCAACCGCACCCTCAGTGTACATTGAGCTCTACTCTGCGTTCACGTTCACATGGCCAAATCCCAACATTCAATATTTGGAGTCATTATCCATTTTAATTTTAAAACTTTCTGAGAGTAATTTATGCTCAGTTGCTTCCGTTGTTCTTATTGGCCGAGTTTAATTGCACTCAAGTCTCTTATTTAATTAGCTTGCTAATTTCTATAATTTAAAATGGCCTTAACTGTCTCGGTAGTGTCTATGGCTATTCTTTTCCTTTTATTCCCTATTTGAATTTCACATTTTCGTTATTTATGCTATTGGAATAAAAAAAATTTATTTAATTACTTGTCAAATTAATACTACCATCACTGTAATTACCTTGCTCTTAATTTCCCTCTTTTAGTTCATATTGGTGACTACATCACATTATTGGTGTGGTATATTCGGTAATCCCGATTATGTCTCATCTGTAGACTTTTATCTCTTTAGACAGAGATTTCTAGCACCATAGTCGTGCATTGTTGGTTGGTCATTTTCAGGTGCTCATATGAAAACAATTGAAGGAAGTTTCATCAATCTATCGGGTGATAGTTTAGTCTTATTCGTTTATACAAATTTATGAGAATAATTAAGCTTTCTCTGTCGAAGATTGCTAATGTCCCTTTATTTTCTTTGTTGTGGATTTTTGTTGCAACTCGATACCGAT